GTTTCAGAGTTGCAACGTCATTATCACTACCAACAACAGATCTTCTAAGTAAAATTTTAAGAGTTCATTGTAGCCCATTTTGTTTTCAAATTACATCTCACTAAATGCATACAGAGAAAAGCCTGCACTTAAAGTTACTTCAATTAATGATTTTTCTCTCTGAGGTTATATTATTTGATATACAATTAAGTTTATTTGTTTTTCTTTTTATTCAAATTTGAGGTTTGCTTTTTAAATTTGCATAATGGAATACTATGTGGCCATTAAAAAGAACAAGGACAATCTCTGTGTATTAATGAGGAGTGAAATTGTAAGCTGCAAAGCAGTATAGACAGTATGCTTGCCTTTTGCATAATAAAAAAGGAGAAATATGAATACGTACACATTTCCGCCCCCAAAACCTAACATACACATACAGCAAGGAGAAACCAGTTCATTAGCAGTCCTGTTCTGCTTTCTTACTAACGGATGCTGTGCATCAAATAGTTTATACATTCTAAACAGGAAGAAGGAAAAAGAAGAAACAGCAGCAGACTTCCACCTAGATCTCATTAGCTAGAAGTGAGTCACATGCTCACACTTCGCAACAAGAGGACCTGGGAGCACGAGCCTCTATGTCAGATTAAGGTAAGCGACAAAGGGTTTAGGATGAAGGTTGAATGAACCAACCTACTGTATTTACCACACCTTGTCTTTTATATTTTAAAATATGTAAAAGGGAAACCTAGGATGGTCATTGTTAAATCTATTAAACTATAACTTGCTTGTCTAGTAAATTATAATCTGTCTTCACTGATCAAGCTTGCAAAACTGCATGCCCTTCAAGCTTCACGTAGCTTAGACAATGTATTACAGGACTCCCCTCACCCCTCTCTGTAGATAGCATCTCTGATGTATGAGTCTTAAGATGTGTGCTCGAGTTTCAGGAACTCTGAGTCAGCTCTTGTCCAGTTCAAGCCAGTTGAGACCACCAACCCATTAACTGGGCCTGCGCATCCGATAGGTGACCTTTTGACGTCAGAGGGCCAAAAATTCCACCCTGGGATCATGCTAATGCTGCCATTTTCTGAACATACATCCTGTGAAGAAGCATGAAGCCCACTTGCGCCTGCACAGAGCAACGATTACCTCCCTTTCTTACCTCCAGTCACCATTCCCCGTACCTCTGACTACCCTGTGCCCTTTACCTATAAGTATATGAAATATCTCACCTTCAGGGGAGGCGGGTTTGAGGTTTGTTCTCCTGTCTCCGTGCTTGGCTGTCTCATGAAAAATCCCTATCTCTGCTGCAAACCTCGGCATCTGTCAGGCAAATGGACCTGGCTCAGTAACAAAAGGACAAAAATCTAAAGAAGTAGCAACAGCATTTTTCAAAGTTGTTCAAGTAGTTATAAGAAAATCAGCCTATTTGTGAAGCAGAATACAGGTAGAAGAAAATGAAGTGACTATATTACACGATAAAATAGATATCTTTAAAATTGTTCTGCCATGTGTCTCTACGTCTTTCACAAATCAATCAATATCTGTTTCTCTAGCTGGGTAGCTAACTATCTGATTTGTGCTTCAATTTACTCCAATTTACAGCTACTAATATCCGAAGTCAATTAGACCCGTTTTTCCCCTCAAGCAAGGCAAAATCATTTGCTATTTAAATAGGGTGAGTACATGCGTTGGTTTTCCTAGAACAATCATAACATAATTATTAATAGCATCCCCCTTCATTCTCAAGTGTTTTGGTTTAGATGATAAATTACATGGTTTCCATTATATCTAAAGAACAAGGGCAAATGAACTGGTCCAAGTGGAGCTTGTAATGACCTGAAGGGGCCAGGAAAGAGCCTACTTTCTAGAAATGAGTAAATCACATTTATATGTTACTTGAATCCCACTAGGATTTCCCTCGTGCTAATACAGAAGACCAGGAGGCATCCTTCAGTTCAGGCATTCCTTATAGCCCTAGACAAAGTTTCTGTAGCCCAGGAGATCCCAGTTCCTCCTGTAACCAGACCAGATTCCTTTGCCTGGCACATAGTGAGCCAAACACTGATGAGGTAACCATTGTGCAGCACAGGCAAAACTAAGCTACACACTTCTTCATGGGTCACATGTTTAGAAAATGGTGGCGCTAGAATGTTCTGAGGGCAGTTTCTGGCCCTCTGACATTGAACAGTCACCAATTGGACACGTGAGCATGCCGTGTTGGAGGGTCTGAGGTCCCAACTGGTCTTAATCGGCTCGAAGTGGGTAACAGCTGATTCCAAGTTCCTGAAAAACAAACTGGGCAAACATCTTTAGACTCGTGACTTGTTGTTTAGGCTACCTGATGCTTGGAGGATATGCAAGTTTTTGGAAAAACAAAGTGAGTTTGATCAGTGAAAGCAGGCTACAGTTTATTATTTATTAAACAAGTTATAGTTTAATGGATCTGATGATTACCCTCGGTTTCACCCCTTTTTCTTCCTTCTCACTCAACTTTGGCACTACTTGCTTTTGTTCTTGCTAAGAACAGCTAACAGAATTTCCTGCAACTTAGGCATGGTTGGGGGTAGGAGCTGGTATGGAGGGCAGTGAATGAGCTTCCAATAGTAAAGACATTCACCAGAAGGGAAATCTTAGGACTCATAAATTTGGTTGTTTGGGTTTGTTTTTTAATTTGGGGGGGGGTAATTAGGTATATTTAGGGTTTTGTTTGTTTGTTTGTTGTTTGTTTGATGGAGGCTCTGTGGATTGAACCCATGATCTCATGCATGCTAAGCACATGCTCTACCACTGAGCTATACCTCCGCCTCATAAATTTGGAAGGCATTGCACCAAGCTCACTTACTGAACTCTACTCCAAGGTACAAATTAATCTATTATACTTATGAATCATATATTATCTAATAACACTATAGCACACACTCTCGTATCTTTGGGTGCTTGCCCAATTATTTCCTTAGAAACCCTACCTCTATTTATTTTCTTAAATTAAACAAAAAATATATATATATATAGTACATAATGACAGTTTGTCAGACCTCTTAACTTTTAGTTTATGGGAATATTTTTTTTTCACGTACACAACACAGTAATATTTTCTTGGACCATCTATCTGTGACAAATAATATCACATTTTATTTGTATAGTTTTTTGATTACCAGTGCACCTTACATATTTTTCGTACACTTAATATCCATTTATTTTTATTCTTATATAATTGGTTAGTCATGCTTTTGTCTATTTTATAGTGAATGCTTTTTTTCTTCTTGAGTTTTAAGAGTTCTTTGTGTTAATAATGTAACTAGTATGTGATCTGCTCCACAAATGTACAAGGTACAGATGTGGTTAGTTACATCCATTAGTTTTCTCTATTGTAGTTAAGCCTCCCACATGCCCTGTTAGAAGGAAGTCTAGTTTTCCTCTTTGTGGTTTCCCCTCCTCTCCACTGATTGTCCAAGTATCTTAAGAGGGATTCACTCAGCCAAAAGTGCAACAAATTCTTCTTCTAATAGCCAAATACAGAGAGAACTGGTGTCTACTCGGTTCTCCTTTGCCATTAGGCCTTTGTACATCCACATATATTCTCCTTAATTCAGACTTGAGGAGCAGAAACTGGGTTCTTGGTCTCCTCTTTCCTATGGGTATTAGGTTTCTAAGGCAAATTGATTCACCTCATCCCCAGTGACTCACCAGGCAAAACTAAGGGTGAGACGTTTTTGCTAACTGGGAAAGAAACACACACACACCACCCCCGCAAAAAAAGTTTTGTTAGGACCTCCTTGCAGGACAGCAGGTGCCTTCACCAGTTACATGTGCATAACTAAGGCAGCCACTTAATCGACTCTGCATAGAACAAAGAATATCAACCCCATCTGATTAAAATTTAAAAAATAAACAACAAAAAACACTGTTATGTTAAGAAGCACAATCCTAACCCTTTATCATGTATGTTATGTACATATTTTTCCATTTGTGGGTTGCTCTTTAACCTTGCATATTTTAAAGGAGGAGGGTTATACCTATTTTACATTTTTTATGGAGTCAAATATACAACTATAACTTTTGTTTCTTAAATCTTCATCAAGATTCAAAAGACAGTTCTCTCCTAAATTTATAAAAGATATTTACCTAAACTTTCTTTTGGTACTTTAATGTTTTCATTCTCTCACATTTCAAATATTTATCTATCCAAAGTTATTTGGCAACAGAGTGACGACCTAATTTTCTTTTTGCTGTATGTGACTAGCCTAGTTACACAAACATCACTTATTAAGAATCTAATTCTTTTCCATGACTTGAACTGTCCCTTTATGATATGTGGGCCGTTCCTACAGCAATCATTTCAAAACTTTACAACTCTTTTAGACCCTATCAGCCATTTTTCCATCACTCTCAGCAGACAACTCTTTACAATTAAGTCTCCAATATTTGCCACAACTCCATTCTTCATATGAACATAGACCATTGCCCATCTGTAGAAGAGATAGGTTAGCAAACATTTTCTGTAAAGGAACAGATAGTAAATATTTGACTTTGAAGGCCAAGAGGCAAAATCGAGGAAGTTATACGCACTTTTAAATTAAAGGTCTACCAATGAGAAGAATGAAATTATTTTTTTAGGAATAACATTTTACTTAATTGGGGGCTCAGAACAGTTACAAATATTCATCCACTAAAATCATTCTTACCTTCTGGGAGCATGCAAAACAGGCCAGATATGGCCTCTGACCTCTGACATCCTTGCTCTATCCATTCAATGGAAAGAACTGCCCCAGAACATCCCTCCTACCCACCAAGGCCATTTCTGGATCCCAGTTCTTCCCTGCCTTTTCAGGGACATTAGCAATAAATATACTTAGCAATTCTATTCCAATCCCAAACAAGCTTCCTGGACCATTCCTTTCAGTAATTAATATGTATATTTACATAATTAAAGATAGTCTTTTAAAGCCCAAATAAAATATAAAAATAATTTAAAATAGGTAGGCAGCACTTCCTGTTTGACTGCAGTGTACTTCCAACTAAGGGAAGTTAAAGCTTATCCTCTAGTAAGCCCACACATTTCTGTGACAAGTATAATACAAAGTAACAAAAAAATTTAAAAATCATTTGTAGTTAGTTTCAGAATACAGACACAAGATTTTGTCCACCAGACTTGCTTTTCTATTTCCATTCTTTTTTTCTTATTATTAATTTATGGCTATCTTTCCTGAGGATACATTGTCTGGGGGGATGGTGACTCATCACACAATAATGTGCTCGGTAGTTAAAAAAAGCCAACCTTTGACAAACAAAACCTCATATATACAGAAATACCTATTACCAGTGGAGTCTTTATTTTATTAACATTTCATTAACTGTATAGGAAAGTGCTCCCGATTATAATCCAAGAGACCTGTGCTCAACTCCTGATGCTTTGGCTAGTTTTAACTAACCCAGGATTCATTTTTCTCAACTGTTAAACAGATGACTGCTAATTTCCATTATTTATTTTACCTTTAAAGTTTTTTTGGAAATAATCTTAAGTTTATTGAAGAGTTATACGCACAGCACAAAAACAGGGTTTTTTTTTTCCTGGATCATTTGAGAGCAAATAGCAGATATAATGCTCCATTATTTTCTAACATTTCCATGTATTTCCTTTAAACAAGGATATTCTCTTAAATAGCCACAGGACAACCATCAAAATTAGGAAATTAACATCCATATGTCACTACTACCTCAGATCCATTCAAGTTTAACCGGTTGTTCCAGAAATGTCCTTTGTATCAAAACAATTTACCATTTTAGCAACTTAAAAATATAGAGTCGAGTGGCATTAATGCATTCATATTGTTGTGCAATAATCACCACCATCTATCTCCAAATTTTTTTATCTTTCCATATCAATGAAGCAGTAACTCCCCATTTTTCCCTTCCCATACAAGGGCAACCACCATTCTACTTTCCATTTCTGTGAATCTCGCTACTCTAGGTACCTCATATATCATACAAGATTTGTCTTTTTGTGCCTGGCTTTTTTCACTTAGCAGAATGTGTTCAAGATTCATCCACATTGTTGCATATGTCAGAATTTAGTTTCTTCTTACGGCTAAATAATGGTATGTATATTCCACATTTTGTTTATCCATTTATTCATCAGTGGATACTTGAGTTGTTTCCACTTTCAGGTATTGTGATTAATGCTGCTAAGAACATTGCTGTACAAATATCTGTTCAAGTTCCTGCTTTCAATTCTTTCGGATATATATCCAGAAAAGATGGTGCTGGATCACTTGATAATTCTAAGCATAATTTTTTTGAGGAACTGCCATATTGTTTTCCAGAGCAGCTGTACCATTTTACATTTCCGTTAGCAGTGCATAAAGGTTCCAATTTCTCCACAAAATTGCCAACACTTGTTCTTTTCTATTGATAATAGCCATCCTAATATATGTTAAGTGGTATCTCATTGTGGTTTTGATTTGCATTTTGTCATGTCTTTTAATGTTCTTCAACCTGGAATAGTTCTTCAGTCTCTTCTTGATATTTGTGACCTTGATACTTTTTCTTTCGTTCCCCCAAATGAATAGTGGCTCAAGCAGAAGTTTAATTATCACTCCCACAAATTCCAAAACCAACGTTCCTGATCAGTAGATTGTGGTTCAAGAGCCCAGGCTTCTTCCATCTCATAACTTTGCCATCTTCTTAACATGGTTTCCAAACGACCTTGAAACATTTGAAGATTAGAAACATGCTGTTTTGTAGACTATCCCCTAGTCTGGTTTGTCTGATGTTTCCTCATGATTAGGTGCAGGTTATACAATTCTAGCAGGAGTGTAAAAGAAATCTGTTCTGGGTTCTCATGTCATCCTAATACAGTTTTGATTTGTCTCATTACTGATGGCTTAAATTCAATTCCTTGATTATGGCAATGTCTGCTAGTCTTCTCCACTAAAAAGTTAATCTTTTTTTCTTTGTAATTAATAGTTTGTGAGTAATATTTTGACAGTATGTAAGTATAAATGAGATATGAAATTATACAAACATATAAACTTTGAGGCTGTTAATGAAATTTCCTCAAATTTCCTTAATGAGAGAGGCAAAAAAAAAAATTTTCCTCAGCAAAGTTTCCATTTATTTACTTATTTTCATTGATTTGGATTCATGTTTTTCTATTATACTCAGTGGGTTAGAATCTGTTCCTATCATTACTTATTTTGATACTCAAATTGTTCCAGATTTGGCTATTGGGAGCTTATTCAAGCTGGTTACTCTGACCTTTTAATGTGTTGCCATCATTCTATGAGGACTTCCTTACTTCCTGCAACAATAAGATATTCCAGGTTCATCTTGTGTTTTCTTGCCTTTACTTTAGCCTTGGAATCAGCCATTTCACCAAGGGACCGAGTTCTTTTTAAAAGAGAAAGGTATTTAAAATCTAAGATCTTGGTGCTAGGTGCATTTACTTTTTAAAGCAGAAGTCAGGTTTTACTGTCAAATATTATAAAACCAAAAAATTTCTTATTTTCAAAATCTGTGAAGTTTTAGAATTGTAACTGAGGGGCTCTGAATCTGTAACATTTACTTTTTTTAATGTAACTTTTTAAAAGATTGGGGTATGATTGATGTACAATATGTACTATGTATATTTATGGCTGTTGGGTTATTGTTGCTCCCAAGCCTCTCAGCGGACAGGCCTAAGGAATCTATGTTTTATATACATACATACACATACATGCATATATATGAAGGGTAGCAGCCCAAAATACTCTACTTTGGTTTCAAGATTATTTTGAGCAAGAAGTTCTTAAGAAACAGCAGGTGCAGGAAGGGTGCACTGACTTCCCCTTTCTACCTGAAAGCAGGGGATGAAACCCCCATATGAAAGATGTCTTCCTTCTCACATGAGGAAAGAAACATTCTTATCACCAGAGGTGGGGAGTCGAGGAGGCTGAGAGAATTCTATACAAATAGATCTTGTTAAAGTAACTCTTATCTTCCTTTAGTCTCCCCATATATTTTAGTCACTTTTCCACAATGCCTCTCTTTGTTCAACCTAATATATAAGCCCTTAGGTTTTGTCATTGCTTTGGTTCTTCATTTATGAGGGCCTCCATGCCATGTAAAACTTATATTACATAAATCTGTATGCTTTTCTCCTCTTAATCCGTCTTATGTCAACTTAATTTTTAGGTCCAGCCAGAGATCGTAAGAGAGTAGAGGTAAAGTTTTTGCTTCTCATTCATATACAAACATACATTTATGTCTATATTTATTTCTATAGCTATCTTTCTAAATATTGGCATCCAATAGGACACATAGATACAACAATTCCAACCCAGCACTGCAGAGTTCATTCTAGTTTTCTCTTTCCATATTTGTAACTGAGGAGGATGTCCTCACCCCACTGAAGCTCTTACATATTATGACAGTTCCTATCCATAACCCTCTTGGGCTACCCCATGCTGGCCAACCCATGCCCATGGAAGGCTGTTCGCTTTTTGATGTCTTCCTTACCCTGTTCAGGCTCCAACACCCTACACTGGACCTTTCTTCTACACTGATGACTTCCTCATCCATCTTGGGCTCTGATACCAGGGCCAGGCCATCCCTCTGTGCCTGGCCACCCTCCTCACCCTGTGCTGGCTCTGATGTCCCACACTGGGTGTCCCACCCCATGTGGACATCCTCCTCACCCTACTCTAGCTTTGACTGTCTGTGCTGGGTGATAGTCCCCTGCATGGACACCCTCTTCACCCTGCTTGTTCTCCAGACTCCTGATGGCCCACCCTCCCATGTAGTAGCCACTCTCCTCATCTTGCAGAGGCTGACCCCTGTCCCCCAGGGGAAACTCTGCTCAGTCTCTGACTCTCTGCTCTGGACCACAGCTCTCTCCATCTCAGGCACAAATACCTACATTGTTGATCCCACTTCATGGCTTCTGGGCTGAATTGCTGGGGAAGAGTTAAGGAAAGGGAAAGAAGAAGATGAGCTCAGTGACTATTTTTAACATTTATCAGTTGTAACAGACATTACTGATTGCCTTTTCAATAACCATTCTTTCCACCATTTTTATTACTTGCAGCCCAAAGGAGTCTAACTGCCCAACTAACCTTATTGATGCCCGTCTCTCAGCCTACATACAGCCTTGCTTCTTTCTCAGAGATTGCAGGTGCTTTTTATCCTCTTCTTTCCACATCCCCTAAGGCACAAAGTGATCTACATCTCCACAATACTCTATCTTCTTTTCCATAATTTCAAGGCAGTGATATTCTTTCTCTTATCCAAGGCTAATTTACCCCTCTGTGTTCTACATTCTATTTTCTCCAAGATTCTTTCTTAAAAGTTTCCTTTCTTTCCTTTATTTTCAAACCATAGATTATTGTTAGTTCTTTTCTTTAAGCAGAAACATGGTCAAAGTCTCTCCATTCTTATAAACAAACTAAACCCTCCTCTGAGCAGAAAACATTTAATATGCACAATTTTTGATCCAATATAACTCCACCTTTAAGAATCACTTATTAATTTATCAAATATTTATGAGCACCTATGTGTGAATAGAATGATAAGCAGAAACATATATTATCCCTGTTTCCATGGAGCTTAATGAGAGAGACAAATATCAATCAGATAATCACACTAATGAGTGCATTATTACAAATTGAGACCTTAATGATAAAATGAAATATTATGTACTTATATTTGTAGGTCCCTAGTCCAAACTCTTTCCAGGAATTAATTTAATCATAAATAATGTATTACATGTACTGTTATATGTATATAGTTTTTATTATGCCCACCACTCTTATACCCACTTGCAGATAATGAAGCTGAGTCAGAGAGAGGTTAAGTAACTTGCCCAAGGTCACATAGCCAATAAGTGATAGAGCTGGAATTCAAACCCAGATAGTCTGGCCCCTGCTTTTTTTTTTTTCAGTCTAGCCCTTGCTCATAACCATTATGCTATACTGTTTCTCACAGGTAGTGATGAAGGAAAGAAACAGGGATCTAACTAAGAAAACTGATCTAGACAGGAGCTCCCTGAGGAAGTACTGCCTGAGCTCAGACCTCAAGTTTGAGTAGGCATTAACTCTGCAAAGTGGGTGATGGTGGTGGTGGTAGGAGAAATAATTATTTCACGTAGAGGACAGAACATGCAAAGGCCCTGAGGCAATAGGGAGCATGGCACAATGAAGAAAGTGAAAGGCCAATGTAGCTAGAATGTAGAAGCAAGGGGAAAGTGGAACATTATGTGGCTAGAGAGGTAGTCCAGGCCACATAAAACACAGCCTTATTGGCCCTTAAGGATTTTGTTTTTCATCCTAAGAATAAGAGAAAGCCATGAGAATAAGGATTGGTGAAGCAAGGATCCCTTTCCTTTGAAAAGATTACTCTAATGAAGTTTAGACAATGGGGACAGGAGAATTTAGACAGTGGAGTCACAGTGCATGTGGAGATGAGGGTTGTGATATTTTGAGGATGATAAGTTGACTTAGGGTGGTGACAGTGGAAATAGAGACAAATGGAAGGATTTGAAGAAATATTTAGAAAGTCACATTGACAGGACTGGGTAATAGGTTAGATACAAGGGCTAAGAAGTAGGTTTCAAGGATGATCCTTCCTGTATCTAATCTGTCAAAATCAGATAATGTATCTTCTAAATATGTCTTTCTAGTGCAAATAAGTGAGTGGTAATACCATTTGCTGAGATAAGGAATATGGAAGAAGATGAAGAGGTTTGGGGAAAAGATTATTGAGTCTTGGACATGCTGAGTTTGAGGTGCCTTTGAGACAGTCATGTGGAGATATTAATTGACCAAAGTCATATACTTTGGAGTTATTTTATGGATGGCAAATGAAGCTGTAGCTGGATGAGTGTGCCTAGAGAAAGAAAATTGATTGAGAAGAGAAGGGGGTCTAGAGTTGGTATTTCAGAAAGTCCAATGTTGAATAGTGCAGCAAAGGGTTAACTTAGTAGGCCTAGATTGCTCAAACCCCGCACATTCCAAAGAAGGGCTTGTCTTTTAGAACTAATCCTTGACTGATTCCTGAGAGATAACCTCTGAGCCTTTGGAATACTCTGCCTAATAAGATGGTTTGTATGCCTAAGGTCTTGGGCGAGACTGTATCACTTTGACCCCATTGTTTATGCTATCAATGTGATTTGTGTTGAACACCTGTTTTAGCATGTCTGCAGCCCTGGACCATGCTGTATCAGTCTGACCTCTGTGGGCTGGAATTCAAGCAGTTGAGGTCAGTTGTGTGGGTGATCCATGCCTATGGGACAGACTCTTCCCCTACCCCCAATACAAATCCTGAATACCAAGGCTTGGGTGAATGTCCCTGTTTGGCAATGTTAGCCAATAGTGAGACCCCTAAATTAGGAGGCCCACCAAAGTGTGGGTCCTTGCCTGCTGGCTGGAAGGAATTCACAGCTGAGGTAGAGGGACAGAGCAAAAACTGCTTTTATTTCTCAAAAGAGGAAAAGGAATTAAAGTGCTCAAGCAGGGAGAAGGAAAGAAAAGCACTTGAGTGAGGAAAAGGTGCTTGCTCCAGTGGGGAGCTGTCAGCCATGATGGCTGGTAGAGACAGTTCTGGCCCAGGTCAGCCATGTGGACTTTTATGGGAGGCTTCTGCCATCACATCCTCCTTCTGGGTGTGATGGAGCCAATCAGTCTTTGTATGGGCTTTTCGGTCCTTGGATGGGCTTTTCCAGTTGTTGTCATGGCAATTATCAACTGTCATGGCGCTGGTGTGTGTGTCATTTTTAGCATGCTAATACATTACAATGAGTATATAATGAAGCTCAAGGTTGACTAGAAGTCAAATACTCCATCATCTTGGACTTGGTGGGCTCTAGCCAGTTCTTGTTTCTTCTCTACAGCTGCCTCCTGAGACTTAGATGAAAGCAATTGGTTTCTATTTGAGGGAGAGACAAGGATATGATCCTGGGGGCAACTGCCTTGGTGCCAAAAAGGAAAGTTGCTTTTGATTAGAATGCCTGCAATCTGGTGGACCCAAAGATTCTGTTCAGCCTTGAAAGTTTTGAAGGGAAATGGAAGAATAATCTCAGTTAATCATTGAGATAGATGCTCAGAATCATTGCCATCCCCCAATGCCTACAGGCTTGTCCTAATCAGCTGCTTGAGCCTGCTCTTCTATGACTCAGGGAGGCCTGGAAGACTTCAGCTTTTCTATAAACAAGAGGCAAAGGTTGGCAGGGGTGCCTACAGGGTCCTGCTCAGTATCAGCAACACTTCACAAACGTTTTGTCACACATCATTGCTGGGAGAATCAGAGCCTGTGTAAGTAACTCCACTGGGAGGAGACACCTGGCACCTTGTGCCAGTTTTCTTCTGGACTTTTTTCCAGGGACCTTTTACTTTTGCTGATTTTAATCTGTATCATTTCACTGTAATACACCATAACCATGACTATAACAGCTTTTCTGAGTTCTGTGACTTCTCCTAGTTTGGTTTTGGGGACCCCTGACACAGTCTGTGAAAGAGAGACAGCAGTCCAAGAGGTAGGAGGAAAACCAGCAGCACGTGGTGTCAAGAAAGCCATGGAAGTGAGTGATTCCAGAAGGGGGAATGCCCAACATTGTGAAATTCCACTGAAAAGACAAGTAAGGTTAGGAATAAAATACATCTACTGGATTTAAAAAGCATGGAGGTCATTGATGACCTTATCAAGAGTTGTGTTGATAGGGTGATGGGGTTGGGAGCTAGGCCAGAGTAGACTGAGGAATGAGCGGGACATGAGGAAAGAGATCTTTAGAGAGAGAAACAAATTTGAAAAAAAGATTGCATGTTAATTTACTTTTATTTATAGTAGCAAAATACATCAAACACAATCTATTTATTTAATAACGTAATAAGAACCCTTTGAATTTATATATTAAAAACTTTTACAATGGGTGTACTTGTTGAATCAGCAATTCTATCTTTAGGAATATTCAGAAAAAATAACTATAGACACGCAAAGTATTATTCATCATAATGTTTATTACAGTATTGTTTCAATAGCAAAAAATTAGAAACAACCTTATTGTGTAAAAATAGACAGCTAATATATTACAGTACACTCATGAAATCTGTTTATTGTCTAAACTGGAATGAATCTTACTGGTTACAAGAATTAGAGATAATGTGTGTGAAGTCACTTTACAAATTGTAAACTGCTATTCAAATGTCGTGTTTACTACTGGGATTA